AACAAATTAACACAAGTCAAGTTTTCTCACCCAAACCGCTTTAGTATAAACAAAGTTGTGAGCATTGCGGTTCTTGGGTGATGTCTTGACGTTGTGGTTCCCTTTGCTTTCAATGGGAACCGGTCTCGACTTGGTTTCCAACATCCAATTTTTAGGTCTAGGCAAATACACGCTCTCATGCAACTTATAACAATAAGGGCGAATATGACCATGCATACCACAATGATGACAAATAAAAACAGGGTGTATAGGGTGTACCTTCTTTTCTTTTACCTTGCCAACTCTAGGAAGTTTGAGAAGTCCATCTTTATGTTGAATTTTTTGTTCCCCCTTTCCTTGAGTTCTTGTATCATGAGATGTGGAAGCACTCTGTTTTTGCTCTTTCTTACCACCAAAGCCAATGCCACTCTTGTCAGAACAAATTTATTAAGACCCAATGATATTGTCCAAAGTCTTTGATCCTTTGTTTCAAAGACCAATGGTAGCCATAGCACACTTGAGTTCTTCCTCTTTCTTGATCATTAGTTCTTCCAAAGCAACTTGAGACATCTCGAGAGTTTCAATTTTTTCTTCATATGTTGCATAGATTTGCTGAAGCTCATTCCTCTCTGTCTCACAAGTCAAGAGTTTTGCACACAAAGCTTGTCGATCATTAGCTATCTTGATAGCATCAATCCTTGCCTCAGAAATCTCCTTCTTTAGTTTGACATTCTCACTTTCACATGCTTTGAGTTTCATAGTGAGTTTGTCATTCAATTTGGATAACTTACTAGATTCCTTATACAACTTTTCATAAGCTTGCTCAAGCTCTTCATCATCACTTCCCGAGGATTTATCATCAGTGGCATTCTCAACTGGGTTCTTCGGATACTCTGTTCGTCCTTCAGTTTCAGAAGCCGCCATGAAAGCAAGGAATTATTTATGTCCTCCTTCGCCTTGATCTTCGTTGTTACTTTCATCTTCATCAGATTCTGATTCATCATCCCAAGTGATGGCGAGGGCTTTTTTCTTCCTCAAACGAGTGGGGCATTCTGAAGCAAAGTGGCCAAATCCTTGGCATTCATAGCACTGGACTCTTTCAGACTTCCCTTGTATCTTTCCTTTCTCCTTCTTGGCTATAGAATTAATTTTGAGTTTATCTTTGCCTTTAGATTTATGAGTATGAGTAGAGTCCAAAAGATTAGGATTCTTTTTCAAAAAAGATTTTTTAAATTGTTTAACAAAAGCAACCGTAATCTTGGAATCTATCTCATAATCCTCATTAGAATCCTCTCTAACTCTATGAACACTACTAAAAGCAATATCTTTTTGTTTCTTTTTGAAATTCCTATGTGCTTCATAAGTTTGGAGATTTCCAACCAACTGATCCAGCTTGAGGTTGTCAACATCTTGAGCCTCCTCAATAGCCGTAACTTTTGGTTGGAACCGATCAGACAAGGATCTCAAAATTTTTCCCACAACTTTGGATTCTTGGTATTTTTTACCTAAATTGAAGCTGGAATTTGCAATGTCACTCAACTTCGCATAAAATTCATCAAAGGTCTCACTATCTTTCATGAAAGGTTTTCGAAACTAGACGTGAGCCTTTGAAGTTTTGAGCGTTTAACAGAAGGAGTGCCCTCATGAATAGTTTATAAGATATCACAAGCCTATTTTGCGACTTCACAATTACAAATACGACTAAACTCTTCAGGTGTGACAGCGCAAAAGAAAGAATTGAATAGCTTTACTATTCCAGCTACTATTTGGTAATCAATTGTGTCCCACTTTTCAATTGGTTTGGGAAAAGTTACTCATCAACGGTAATTGTTGGTTCAGTCCACCCATACATGACAGATTGCCAAACTCTTTCATCAATAGATTTTAAAAACGATCTCATCCGAGCTTTCCAAAATGAATAATTGGATCCATCAAGTAAGGGTGGTCGAACCATAGAATTTCATCACGTATTGAATCCATTATCACAAATCAACCAAGATCTCGTTCTATAAAGAATTTTTTAAAAAAAAAAAAAAAAATAGAACGACCTACTCTAATACCAATTGAAAAGTCTTTGTCAATGAACGCCCAACCCTCGTACATGTTTTCTGATATATCTTCTGTCCTTATTTTGTGCTTTCAAATGTTTACTGTAAAACCCCATGAGAAATAAAGGTTAAGTAAGTGAAACCCATGTTTGAGGATGTCTATCTATTTACTAAGCAAAGTATCTGTTACATCTAGGATGGTTGAATTAGAAATTCGAAGCCTTAACGGCTTAATTATCTAAAATTAATTATATATCTGTGATCAGCATAATTTTTAAGTAATATTAAGCCTGTTTATGAAATTTCAATTTAGGATGATTAAACTGAATGATTTTTGTTTTATTCACCTATGGTATGCTTATATATAAGTATATGTTCATGTTCATATATGATGGACTTAGAAGATTTTCTTCAAGCTATTTTCTAAGAGAGAAATGATGAGAGAGAGAGTGGAGGTTTGAGAGGAATTCAACAAGGAGAAGGTAGAGAATCTAAGGAGCTCAAGTTTAAGGTAAATCTAATCATTTTCCAAAACCTTTACCTTAGCTTTGAGTGAGATTTTTCCCCTTGGTCATGGTATTTGAAGATGGTAATTGTAACCTTGTGTATGTGTAGAAGTTAATGGGCAAGATACTCTTACTTGGTTGTTTGATTCATTTTGAATTAACCATGAAGAAGTTGTATTTGATCTTATAATTTGAATTCAAGTATGTGGACATATGTTTATGGATGTGTAAAGTTAGAACTCTCATGGACATGTGTTTGTTGTGAGCCTAAGAATGATGAACTAAATTAGATTGATGTAATTGTCATTGTCTTAACATGATTTTAGACCATGTATTATCAAGTAAGAATGCTAATTTGAGCCTTGTAAATATGTGCCAAAAGGTGGGATTTTGCAAGCATTTTCGGACTGTTTTGGGCGGAATCGCCGCACGTGCAGGAGGTGCTACCGCACGTGCGGGAGTCATGGCCGCATGTGCGGGAAATGGTGAAAAACAGGGGCTTGGCTACTGTCTAAAAGGCACGTGCAGGGCATTTTGCCGCACGTGCGGGAGAGCTTGCCGCACGTGTGGGGCTCACAGCCGCACGTGCGGCCCATGCTGAGAAACGTGAATTGCTCCGTTTTGCGTATAAAAGCCTCTAATATTGTCGGAATATGTATTTGATGCCTTTTTGATATTTCTATATGCCTTCGAAGTGAAGCGAAACAGAAAGTAAATTGATAAGAAAAAAATGAACTAATGTATAAGTTTTAAATATGTGCAGGACACACTCCGGGAGGAAGTAACACGGCATCTCAACACTGTGAGCAGTAGTACGCTTTACTACAGTCAATGATGGTCATTAGGAATCTGGTAATGCATGATTATTATGTACCTCTGTGAACGAATCAAAGCATGTAAAGCATAATGAAAAAGATGAAATACGTTCATTCTGTAAGACTCTAAGATCAAGTTGTTCTGTTATTATGATATGAAACAAAGTGCTACACGGAACTAAGTGCTACGATGTGAGTCACCTCTAGAGTCCGTGTGAGATACCTCTTGAGTTCATACAAGCATATCCAAGGGCTCAATGCCACATGTTTCAAGGGCTTAAGGCCAACTTATTCAAGGGCCTCGTGCCACCATGTTTAAGGGCCTTGTGCCACTACGTTTAAGGGCTTACAGCCATCATGTCTCCGGATATTATGTTTCAAGCTATTACGTTTCAAGAATGGGCCTAAGGCCGTTATAAAATCAATACAGAATCAGACTAACTATGTGAACTCTGCCTTTTTATACGCTTTGGTATTATGTTCAAGTCAAGCATTGTTTCATTTATGTATTACTATTCACTGAGCCTGGCTCACTCTATGTTATGTCTGTTTCTGTAAGTAACCAATCAGGAGGTCAGTCCTAGCCATGACACCCGTTTTCTTTTGTCAACCTTCGTGGGTCCAGGCACTGCATGAGACCATTTATTTTGTAAAATATGTTAAGATTTTGGCTTACTTTTGATTGTCCACCCAAGGTCGAATGTATAAAACTTCGATGCTTTTTGGTATGTGCCCAATTATAGGGCTGAGACTATATATGTAGTTGTATATAACCGATGCTCCGGGATATAGTTTGGAACTTTACCTATCTACTATGATGCATGTGATGTATGAGATCCTGGCATGTAGAAGTAGCTCAATGGAGTTTACATGTATCATTATTTTCACATTATGTGCTTCCGATAAGGCCCCATATGTTATATACAATAGGTTAAATGTTCGTTTTCGAACGGGTCATGCCCAAACTTTTAGGGGCGGGTTTGAGGATGTGACAAGTGGTATCAGAGCACGAGTTGCTATCTCACACACGGATCCATTGAGCTTTAGGGTGTCTAGAAACGCTTTAGGCATCTTGCATGACATCCTGAAACTATATGAAAGATTGATGGCAACGTTAAGTGTACTCTGATCATGCTAATGCTAACAAGTTTGAATTATGTCTATTGTATCTAAATCATTATTGTGTAGGCAATGGTGAGAACGAGGACAGAAGATATATAAGATGCTACTTCTGCACGGTTGGATAGAATGGAGAGAATGATTATGGAATTGGTGGAGACCCTACGACAACAACAGCAACAGCCACAACAACAACCGCCCTGCCACTGGTACCTCCACCGGTAGTACAAGATTTCCATGCCGAAGACCGGACTATTACCCTTACTAAGGAGTTCAAAAAGATGAAACCACCATCCTTCAAAGGAGGAATAGAACCAATTAAAGCTGAGGCATGGGTATTGGGGATAGAGAAGTTATTTGAAGTTTTCCCTTGTACCGAAGCTCAAAAGGTACAACTGGCTGCCTTTACTCTTGAGGATGAGGCATAGAGATGGTGGATGCTCACAAGGACTATACATCAAGGATTGACATGGGACAGATTCTTGGAATTGTTTTATGATAAGTATTTCCCTTAGAGTATGCGAGATAAGAAGATGACTGAATTCGAAACTCTCAGACAAGAGAACAAGACCGTTGCTGAATATGAAGCCCAGTTTGCAGAGTTGGCCCGGTTCGCACCTCATATGGTGGACATGGACTATAAGAAGGCACGAAAATTTGAAGGGGGATTACGAGGTGCTATTCTGGACCGAGTTAATATATTGAAGTTACCTACCTATGTAGATGTGTTGGAGAGGGCCGTCATAGCGGAAAGGAATATTGCTGCCCAAAATCGCATTTCTGAATGGAAAGGGAAAAGACATGACAGTCAATGGTCTAAGGGGTCAACTACTCCACCAAACAAGAAACAGAACTCAGGGACTGCAACTGCTTCTATCCCTAGTCAGGGTTCAATCCCTATATGTTCGAAGTCTGGAAAGAGGCATCGTGAAACATGCTATCGGGGGTCTGGAGCCTGTTTCCATTGTGGAAAAATGGGTCACGTGATAAGGGATTGTCCTCAAAGGAAACAACAACAAAATGACAACAGGGCTGCTACCAGTTCAGCGGGGTCTACACCAACTACCAACAACAAGGTACCGGCCAAACCGACTAATAATAAGGACACCGCGAGACAAGGCAGGGTGTTCACATTAGTTCCGGGAGATGTGCAAAATGAGGCAACGGTAGTGTCAGGTACATTTATGGTTCACGGTCATTCTGCTTTTGTATTGTTTGATTCTAGCTCTACCCATTCTTTTGTGTCAAAACTATTTGCTCATAATTTAGATAAACCTGAAGAAGTCTTATCTTATATCTTATATGTGTCCTCACCTTTGGGGGATTCCATGATTTGTACTTCCATCTATACTGCTTGTGAACTTCACCTTGGGTATATTCGGGTATACGCTAACCTGTTACCTCTCGACATGACGTATTTCGATATTATTCTGGGAATGGACTGGTTGGGTGAATATGGCGCAACTATAGATTGTTTGACTAAACAAATCAGTTTCCACCCGCTGGGACAATCAGAGTCTACCTTCCAGGGACATGGAGTGACTTCTCCACCTTATTTGATTTCCGCAGCAAAGGCTTGTAAATTAATTCAGAAAGGGTGTCAGGGGTATTTATGTAGTGTGCTAGAGGGGCAAGGGGTGAATGGGAATACCGACATGATCCCAGTTGTCTGTGAATTTCCTTACGTCTTTCCAGAAGAATTACCAGGGCAGTTAATAGACCGTGAAATTGAGTTTACAATTGAAGTAGCACCAGGAACTCAACCCATTTCTAAGACTCCGTATAGAATGTCACCAGTTGAGATGAAAGAATTAAAAACGCAATTACAAGATTTACTGGACAAAGGATTCATCTGTCCGAGTGTATCTCTGTGGGGTGCACCAGTTTGTTTGTGAAGAAAAAGGATGGAACACTCCGGCTTTGTATCGATTATAGGGAACTGAACAAAGTCACAATCAAGAATAAGTATCCATTACCAAGAGTCGATGACTTATTTGATCAGCTTCAAGGGGCACAAGTCTTTTCTAAGATTGATCTACGGTCTGGGTACCATCAATTAAAGGTCAAGGCTGATGATGTTGAGAAGACAGCTTTTCGTACCCGGTACGGTCATTATGAATTTTTGGTTATGCCCTTTGGAGTTACTAACGCCCCAGCAGCCTTTATGGATTTGATGAACTGCGTCTTTAAGCCGTATTTGGATGAATTTGTAGTGGTTTTTATTGACGATATTCTCATTTATTCAAAGAATGCGAAAGCTCATGAGACTCATCTTCACTTAATTCTTCAAACCCTCTGGGAAAAGAAATTGTATGCAAAGCTAAAGAAATGTGAATTCTGGCTACTCGAGGTGGCATTTCTGGGGCATATTATCACAAAGGAAGGAGTTTCTGTTGATCCACACAAAATTGAGGCGATTGTGAATTGGCCGATTCCTACCAATGTGATTGAAGTGCGTAGTTTTATGGGGTTAGCTGGCTATTACAGGAGATTTGTTCAAGATTTTTCTAAAATTGCTGTGCCACTTACACAACTGACTCGAAAGGGAGTTGTATTTGAATGGTCAGAGGAGCAGGAATCTGCTTTCCAAGAATTGAAGACAAAGTTGACAATAGCACCAGTGCTGGCCTTACCATCCGGTACTGAAGGATTTGTAATCTACAGTGATGCTTCGCACCAAGGGCTTTGTTGTGTACTTATGCAAAATGGAAGAGTTATTTCTTATGCCTCTCGGCAGCTGAAACCCTATGAGAAGAATTACCCCACGCATGACCTCGAGCTAGCAGTAGTAGTCTTCGCTTTGAAGATATGGAGACACTATTTGTATGGCACCACCTGCGAAGTGTACACCGACCATAAGAGTCTCAAGTACCTTTTTACTCAAAAAGAGTTGAATATGCAGCAGTGACGGTGGTTGGAACTTATTAAAGATTATGATTTACAGATTCTTTACCATCCTGGTAAAGCTAACACAGTTGCAGATGCGCTCAGTCGAAAAGGTATGGGGGCTTTGGCAAGCTTGGTTACAGGGCAAAAAGAGTTAGCAATTGAATTGGATAAGATGGAAGTAGACCTTGTGCTACAGGGACAAGAAGCTACAATAGCAGCAGTGATGGCCCAACCGACCCTACTGGAAGCGATTAAACTACGTTAAATGGAAGATAAAACTTTAAAGAAGATATGTGATGAATTACGAACCAAGCCGAAATCGAGATTCAGTTTGATGAATTCAGTACTCAAATTTCAAAACCGAATATGTGTCCCCAATGTGGCAGAGGTTAAACAGAAGTTGATGGAAGAAGCACATGCCTCAAGATTTGCAATGCATCCGGGGAGTACGAAAATGTACCGGGACTTGAGACAAAATTATTGGTGGCCAGGTATGAAAAAGGAAATCGCGGAGCTCGTCTCTAAATGTTTGCAATGTCAACAAGTAAAAGCGGAGCATCAGAAATCGGCAGGTTTATTACAACCCCTCCTAATCCCGGAATGGAAGTGGGAACATTTGACCATGGATTTTGTTGTGGGGTTACCACGGACTCCTCGAGGTATGAATTCTATATGGGTCATTGTAGACCGATTAACTAAGTCCGCTCACTTCCTACCAGTGAAGACTCAGTATAACGCAGATAAACTAGCGGTAATTTATGTGAATGAAATTGTGAAGCTTCATGGTGTTCCAGTCTCAATTGTGTCAGATAGGGATCCAAAGTTTGTTTCCAGATTCTGGAAAAGTTTACAAGAAGCTATGGGTACAGAATTAAAGTTCAGCACAGCTTTCCATCCACAGACTGATGGTCAATCCGAGAGAATGATACAGACGCTAGAAGATATGCTCTGAATGTGTACTAAATTTTCAAGAAAGTTGGGAAACCCATCTACCGTTGGTAGAGTTTGTTTATAATAATAGTTACCATTCGAGTATTGAAATGGCACTCTATGAGGCTTTGTATGGAAGACCGTGTCGTTCTCCCATGTGTTGGGCTGAAATTGGAGATAAGTCCTTGTTAGGGCCTGAAATTGTTCAGTTGACAACTAAAAAAGTTAAAATTATTCAGGAAAGATTGAAAACTGCTCAAAGTAGGCAGAAAAGTTATGCGGACAACCGACGAAGGGATTTGGAATTTGAGGTAAATAGTCATGTCTTTGTGAAAGTCACTCCGATGAAAGGACACCCGAGATTCGGGAAAAGGGGCAAGTTGACACCTCGGTATGTTGGTCCCTTTCAAGTTTTGGAAAGAGTAGGTCCGGTTGCTTACCGGATTGCTCTTCCGCCACACATGAGCCAAAAACCATAACGTATTCCATGTCTCTACGCTTCGAGAATACCTTCTGGATTCGTCACATGTCATTGATTACCATCAAATTGAACTGGATGACAAGTTAACTTATGAAAAGAAACCAATTCGAATTATGGACCGACAAGTGAAACAGTTACGGAATCGAGAAATTCCAATGGTAAAAGTTGAATGGCAAGAACATTACGGAACTGACGCAACTTGGGAAAGAGAAGAGGAAATGCAACATCAGTATCCGCACTTATTTCTACCCTGAGGTAAAACAAGTTTGAGGGACCAAACTTATTTAAGGGGGGAGAGTGTAATAACCTGACCCTCGTACAAGTTTTCTGCTATATTTTCAGTTTTTGTTTTATGCTTTTGAATGTGTATCATAAAATTCTATGAAAAAGTATGGCTATGTAGGGGAACTCCATGTTTAAGGCATGTTTAAGGAAGTCTATCTGTTAACAAAACAAGTATCTGTCACATTAGAATGTTTGAATCAGAAATTGGAAGCCTTAGGGGCTTAATTATCTGAAATTGATGTTATATATGAGATCAACATAATTTTTAGGTAATATTAAGCGTTTCTGTGAAATTTCAATTTAGGATGATTAAACTGAATGATTTTTGTTTTATTCACCTATGGTATGCATATATATATATTCATGTTCATATGTGTTGGACTTAGAAGATTTTCTTCAAGATATTTTTCTAAGAGAGAAAGTATGAGAGAGAGAGTGGAGGTTTGAGAGGAATTCAACAAGGAGAAGGTAGAGAATCTAAGGAGCTCAAGTTTAAGGTAAATCTAATCATTTTCCAAAACCTTTACCTTAGCTTTGAGTGAGATTTTTCCCCTTGGTCATGATATGTGAAGATGGTAATTGTAACCTTGTGTATGTGTAGAAGTTAATGGGCAAGATACTCTTACTTGGTTGTTTGATTCATTTTGAATTAACCATGAAGAAGTTGCATTTAATCTATTAATTTGAATTCAAGTATGTGGACATACGTTTATGGATGTGTAAAGTTAGAACTCTCATGGACATGTGTTTGTTGTGAGCCTAAGAATGATGAACTAAATTAGATTGATGTAATTGTCATTGTCTTAACATGATTTTAGACCATGTATTATCAAGTAAGAATGCTAATTTGAGCCTTGTAGATATGTGCCAAAAGGTGGGATTTTGCAAGAATTTTCGGACTATTTTAGGCAGAATCGCCGCACGTGCAGGGTCATGGCCGCACGTGTGGGAGGTGCTGCCGCACGTGCGAGAGTCATGGCCGCACGTGCGGGAAATGGTGAAAAACAGGGGCTTGGCTACTGTCTAAAAGTTTTTGGACTGTTTTAGGCAGAATCGCCGCACGTGCGGGGGTCATGGCCGCACGTGCGGGAGGTGCTGACGCACGTGCGGGAGTCATGGCCGCACATGCGGGAAATGGTGAAAAACAGGGCTTGGCTACTGTCTAAAAGGCTCGTGCGGGGCATTTTGCCGCACGTGCGGGAGAGCTTGCCGCACGTGCGGGGCTCATAGCTGCACGTGCGGCCCATGCTGAGAAACGTGAATTGCTCCGTTTTGCGTGTAGAAACCTCTAATATTGTCGGAATATGTATTTGATGCCTTTTTGATATTTCTATATTCCTTCGAAGTGAAGTGAAACAAAAAGTAAATTGATAAGAAAAAAATGAACTAATGTATAAGTTTTAAATGTGTGCAGGACACACTCTGAGAGGAAGTAACATGGCATCTCAACACTGTGAATAGTAGTACGCTTTACTACAGTCAATGATGGTCATTAGCAATATGGTAATGCATGATTATTATGTACCTCTGTGAACGAATCAAAGCATGTAAAGCATAATGAAAAAGATGAAATACGTTCATTTTGTAAGACTCTAAGATCAAGTTGTTCTGTTATTATGATATGAAACAAAGTGCTACACGGAACTAAGTGCTACGATGTGAGTCACCTCTAGAGTCCGTGTGAGATACCTCTTGAGTTCATACAAGCATATCCAAGGGCTCAATGCCACATGTTTCAAGGGCTTAAGGCCAACTTATTCAAGGGCCTCGTGCCACCATGTTTAAGGGCCTTGTGCCACTACGTTTAAGGGCTTACAGCCATCATGTCTCCGGATATTATGTTTCAAGCTATTACGTTTCAAGAATGGGCCTAAGGCCGTTATAAAATCAATACAGAATCAGACTAACTATGTGAACTCTGCCTTTTTATATGCTTTGGTATTATGTTCAAGTTAAGCATTGTTTCATTTACGTATTACTATTCACTGAGCCTGGCTCACTCTATGTTATGTCTGTTTCTGTAGGTAACCAATCAGGAGGTCAGTCCTAGCCATGACACCCATTTTCTTTTGTCAACCTTCGTGGGTCTAGGCACTGCATGAGACCATTTATTTTGTAAAATCTGTTAAGATGTTGGCTTACTTTTGATTGTCCACCCAAGGTCGAATGTATAAAACTTCAATGCTTTTTGGTATGTGCCCAAGTATAGGGCTGAGACTATATATGTAGTTGTATATAACCGATGCTCCGGGATATAATTTGGAACTTTACCTATCTACTATGATGCATGTGATGTATGAGATCCTGGCATGTAGAAGTAGCTCAATGGAGTTTACATGTATCATTATTTTCACATTATGTGCTTCCGATAAGGCCCCATATGTTATATACAACAGGTTAAATGTTCGTTTTCGAACGGGTCATGCCCAAACTTTTAGGGGCGGGTTTGAGGACGTGACAAATCTAGAAATCCCCTAGATGTTGATTTGTGATTATGTATCAATTTAAAGCAATATATAACAATCCCAATCAAACAATCAAGACAAATTGACACAACAATTTTACGTGGAAAAACCACAATTGGACGCCTCCAATTGTGATAAAAAATCACGGGCAACAGCCACAAAACAATCCACTAAGAAGATATAAAGGAATTACACAGGTATACTCTCCATTACCTAGCGAATCCACGCCCGAATTGAACCAACCTCTATGTGCCTCTTCCAACCCCGTCTTCACCTCAGAATTGTCTTGACGATGAGCCACTCCGGAATCCACCAAAGCTTCAGGCTCGAATTCTTCAGAATCCATCGAAGAACAACTCTCTCTTTTATGTAGAATAAACAAACAAACGTTTGATGTATGCTTCTTAAATCATGAGTTGAATACTCAATGAAAACATCAAAGAAAACTAGCAAAATATCCCCAGACATAAACCTTAGAACCCAAAAAGAAGATCTGGAGGAGTTATCCAAATTTTGGGAGAAAACCAAGTACTTATAGAAAACTAAAGTAATCCTAGTTTTGAAAGAAAACCAAATCCTTATAGAAATCCAAGAATCTGTGTTTGCGCGGTCTGCTTGAGCGTGGGAATTTCCGCTCGAGCAGAGGCTTCACGCTCGAGCGGAAGTTTCCACGCTCGAGCTTCGAATCACACCATCTAGTACTTTTTCAGGCGAAGCAGAGATGCTGTGAGCTTGCAAACCCCGCTCGAGCGTCACTTTCCCCGCTCGAGCGGGACGACCAAAATTGGAAAATATGGAAAACTAGATCCTGTTACAACCTCGGTTTTGATCCATGGAAATTGTCTAAGGCACGATTCGGGTTGGATTCGCATCTAATAAACTCATAGCCTCACTGAAATAAAAGTTGCGAAAACAAATACAATTGAAAGGAGTTTTGTCAAACGGGGTTGCCAAGAATAAAACCTAACAATGGTAATCATCATAATTTGAATAATTTAACTTACATATTTTGAACACCCAACTCAGCTACTTCAAACTTTGCACACCCACCTCATAACGGAAAAGGGCCCATGATTAGTTAAAGTAATTATTAATATTCGATCAATTTAATTTTTTACATAAATAATTTTCTCAGCAAACTTTATAATATAAACGGTTTAAATTATTGAAAAGGGTATGAGGTGGAACCACCTAAGGGGCACAACAAGGACTCTTTCTCCCTTATAATCCATTCTCATTATTTTTTAATTTTGAATGTAGTACTCTCGTGAAAAAAAAAAAAAAAAACAAAAAAAGTGTCTATAAAATGAAGTGTGTGGTATATATTTAAGTTGATGCGATACTTTAAATATATATCATACACTCTGTTTTCTGAATACTAACATAACAATTGACTTAAAGAAACTATCTTTGCATAAAAGTAAAATAAAAAAATATCTAAACTCTTTCGAGAAATATAACTTATGCTAAATTAGAACACAAATTAAAAAAAAAAAATAACAAAGAAAAAATTGATTTCAAGCTCTATCAAGACCATGAGGATGTTACTGTCTTCTTCATGAGGTGTCCTTGGTAACTGATGAAAATGGACGCATGACCCACAAACACGAAATGATTTTTTTAAATATAGCACACTACATGAACACATGTGAAATATATAATTTTATATATTGATTACATGACATATAAATATAAATAATTATTACATAATATACATATATATATTTAATTTAAAGACAATAATTTTTAAAATCTATTGGAGAAAAATATGTTGAAATTTAAGTTTTTTATTTATTTTTTATTTTTGTATAAATCATTAATTCCAAGTTAATTTATTTAATACTTTTTCACATGTGTCTAAAAGATAGACACATCTTTCCCAAATGTCTAAAATGTGTTCAAATCTATTAAAAAAAAAACCAAAATAAAATAAATAATAAATAAAATAGTTAGACATATTGCGGTTAGTTTCTCTTGTTTAGAAAATAATGCTCAATTAGAACACATTAATGTGTATTTAGAAGGAGAAAGATTGAGTACACACCCTATTAAAAAAAATTTAAAATTTTAAAAATTGTGCATTTGTCAAATCTTATTTCTACCATTGAATCAAATGAATTAAACAACAATATCGGTTGTGGTACTAAATGTTCATTTTTCAGACTGCACATATACACTAATACAACCTATTTTAAATATATAGAAGTAACATTTAACTGTAATTTAACCTTTCCAATACTGATACTAATGCCCAACATTAACATTCTTCAAAAGTCTCTTCTTTTGTCTTGAGAATGCAATGGAGAGCCAAGCTTTCTTCATCTTCTTCTTCTCCTTTGCTTCACTACTTTCCTCAACCTTCTTGAAATTCACCATTGCAGGTGATACCTTAGCTTCAAACCAATCTCTCCGGGACGGCGACACTTTAGTTTCCACTAGCCAAAGGTTTGAGCTCGGCTTCTTCTCTCCCGGCAGCTCCAAATTCTGGTATTTGGGAATATGGTACAAAGCCAGCCCAGATATAGTTGTGTGGGTTGCCAATTGAAACAATCCAATAACAGGTTTACAAGGAGTCTTGACTATCAGCGGTAATAGATCACTGGTTCTTCTCAATGGAACACAGAGCATTGTCAGGTCATCTAACCTGTCAAAAGTCGAAGAAGGTCCTGTGGCACGGCTCTTAGATTATGGAAATCTTGTTCTGTTTGGCAAGACAGAAACAAATTCTGATAGTTTCCTATGGCAGAGCTTTGATTTCCCGTGCAATATGCGGATACCTGACCTAAAGATGGGAGAGAACAACAGAACAAGTCTAGATCAGTACTTGACATCATGGAAAAGCGGTGACGATCCGTCTCCGGGAGAGTTTATTTACAGAGTTGATAATCATGGGTTGCCTCAACTAGTACTTAGAATGGGATCAATAAAAAAGTATCGGTCCGGGGTAAAACTCACATTCTTTAATCTTCCCTTGTACAACAATCCGGCATTTAAAACAATGTTGGAGTTCAACAACAATAGATTGATATATATCTATGAACCATACAACAGCTCTGTCTTTACAAGATTAACACTAAACGAGTCAGGGTTGCTTCAACGCTATATACTGAACAAAAAGAACACTTGGGATCTTATGTTCACAGTTCCACGTGACCTGTGTGACAGTTATGGATATTGTGGTCCTAATGGTATTTGCAGAATCTACAAATCACCGTTGTGCGAGTGTTTGAAGGGGTTCATTCCAAAATCCCAACAAGAATGGGATGTTCTTGATTGGTCCAGTGGATACATAAGAAGCGTGCCATTAGATTGCCAGAATGGACAAGGGTTTGTGAAGGTTGTACAGGTCAAGTTGCCTGACCTGTTGGAGTTTCGGTTAAACATAGGTATGAGCATCAAGGAATGTGAGGAGGAGTGTTTGAAGAACTGTTCTTGTATAGCTTATGCTAATTCAAACATTAGTGGAGGTGGCAGTTGTTGTTTGATGTGGTTTGGGGATCTGATTGACACCAGGGAGAGCTTCCAAGACAATAGTGACCAAGATATCTACATACGCTTGCCAGCTTCAGCAATAGGTTAGTGCATGGCTATGATCTACCAGGTTTCTCTTAACCTTCTAAACTCCTCAATACTTCAGCCCCTTGTTACTTGGAAAGCGAATCGTTTTGGTATTCTCTGTTTATGAATTTACCTAGTACTTCAGTTCTTGATACTCTCTGTTTCAGATTCAATTCATGATTCAAATAATAAGAAAAGACTTGTGAAGATCTTACTGCTATCAGCAACTTTAGGAATACTTACCTTGGGCACAGTATGTGCGTGCATAATAATGAAGATAAAAGCAAAGAGAAGAGGTAAGCATTCCTTATCCACTAAATATTCCTCTAATAATTGTTTCTGAGTTAAATCAAAGATCCCAAACATTAAACTATTACATAAAAATCATGTATAAAGCATTTCCCTAGAAAAAAGGTTAACCAAACTAGCCCTGTTAACAGCTCTAAACGGGAAGAAAGAAAGCTTGGAATTACCTTTATTTGATTTCACTACTATTGCTGCTGCTACAAGCAACTTCTCCGATGCAAATACGATTGGAGAAGGTGGCTTTGGTCCTGTTTATAAGGTAAGATATGATATGTTCAGTCGTGTAGTTAAGAATAGATCATATTGTATTGTTGTGCACCTTATATATGACACCTACAGGGCAAATTGTCCACCGAACAAGAAATAGCAGTGAAAAGGCTGTCAAAAGGTTCCAAACAAGGTCTAGAAGAGTTCAAGAATGAAGTTACCTCAATTGCCAAACTTCAACATAGGAACCTTGTCAGGCTTCTTGGATGCTGCATTCAAGGAGAAGAAAGGATGTTGATCTATGAGTACATGTGCAACAAAAGTTTAAATTATTTTATTTATGGTTTGTGCCTCTAAACCCTTCATATTTTGGATTTGTTCGGTCACCTGCATATCGCTTTCCTACATGGTCACTAATGCATCTTAAAATTTACGAAGGGTCAAAATGATGTGCAGATCAAAATAGAAGTGCATTACTGGCTTGGCAACAGAGGTTTGACATTGTTATGGGGATTGCACGGGGAATTCTATATCTCCACCAAGATTCTAGATTAAGAATAATTCACAGGGATCTCAAAGCAAGCAATATTCTGCTAGACAATGATCTGATTCCAAAAATTTCAGATTTTGGCTTGGCAAGAATTTTTGAAGGAGAACAAATTTGTGCAAAAACAAAAAGAGTCATTGGAACAAAGTAAGTTGTATTTACTTAAAATTAAATCAAAATTTTCTATCATTCAGAACACTTTATAGTTGCAAATTCTTGCAGTGGCTATATGTCTCCAGAGTACGTGATTGACGGGAAATTCTCTGTGAAATCTGATGTATTCAGTTTGGGTGTGCTTTTGCTAGAAATAGTGAGTGGCAAAAGGAACAGAGGTTTTCATCATCCTAATCACCACCACAATCTTCTAGGGCATGTGAGTACTAGAAACAATAAAATAGTTATCTCTCTCTATAGATATATCTGTGTATATCAATCTATCTATCCCTGTGGCTATCTAACTTGATGCATATCTACTGTTTCTTGAGGATGACAAAATATACGTTCTGTGAAGAAAATAAATAAACTAAGTGCATGGTTTGCAATTACTTTAGGCATGGTTGCTGTGGAATGAAGACAAGGCTTTGGAACTAATGGAAGCATGTTTGAAGGATTCAAGTGTTGAATCTCAAGTACAGAGATGTATTCAAGTGGGCCTATTATGTGTTCAAAAACTCCCACAAGACAGGCCGACAATGTCATCTGTAGTGTTCATGTTGGGAAATGAGGAAGCGATATTGCCTCAGCCTAAACAACCCGGTTTCTTCATTGAAAGAAGTTCCATTGATACAGATACTGCAACAAGTGAAGAATTTTATACGAATGGTGAAGTAACCATAACAATATTGGATGCTAGATAGAGTGTTCATCGCAGTTGTTAATATGATTTTAGAAATAGAAGTTATTTCAACTTCAGAATTTTTGTGGATTTCATTTTATTTCTTAAAACCACAGAGCTCAAAAATTTTCTATTTATTTATAATTTGGTTTCAAATATCAAAGCACTCTCCTCTATAATAAGATACAGTAAGTCCCATGGACTTTCTGCAAGTAAATTAAACACCAAAACATGATATAAGAAGCATCTAGATTTTCTGATGAGCATAATTTATAACGTGACTGCATCAATAACTAAAATGTAGGACAAAGACTGATCAAGTATTGGCCCAGCACAAGCATTTCCAGTACCCAACTTTACATAAAGACTGTTCCATGGAAAAAAGTTTGTCATTGTGATTGGTTTTTGGCATGGTTTCAGTTCTTAAGTCCTGTAAAGTGGGCAAAATCAAATCTAGACAAGCTTGTCAAGATAGCTCTTCTAGAAAATTCAAGGATAGTGTTCTACTAGTTCAAAAATGAAATTTTTAGGGAAGAAGATCCCCCAAGTATCATCAGAAAAATAAAAGAAAAGATTCCACTTCAACCAACCTCGAACAATCTTCATAGAAATTAACCAAGTTATTACTAAAATAACATAATTCATAGCTCAAATCACCTGAACAAAGGCTTGATTCCAATTATTTGGGGGTTTAGAACTACATAAAACTAAAATGACAAAAAAAAAAAAAAATTCGGGAGAACAAAGAGTTTCTTATAACTATATTCCAAAACTAAGTAATATTTCAGTTTGAAATTAGTGGTATACCAATGTCACTTCCATCAGATATGAATTCGTGGTTATGCTTCTGTAGTTAAAAACATCTTGACAAGTCACACTAATTTCCATTGCATACAAATATAAATACATATTCACAGTGATTTCTTGAACATCAATTTTATACCAAGATATTTTTACAAACATCAATTGTGCAAAAGACAACTAAATATTTGATGACAATGTAGAGCTACAGGAATGAGGCTAAGTAACAATATCAACAGCAGGTTTCTAGAAATTAAAATGGTCGAGAGAGAGAGTAGACAACATGTGTATGTATATGTAAAAAACACACACATACACAAATGTCAACACACACATAAGCACATTGTGAGAAATTGTTTTCGTTTTTTTTTTTTTTTTTTTTTTTTTTTTTTTTTTTTTGTAACCAAACCAAATCAAGGCTTAAGTCCCATCAAATGGAATCAGTTACATGAATTCTTCTTCTCCACTCGACTCTATCAAAGGCCATTTGGTTATTCAAATTAAAGAGATTCATATCTCTATTTACTACACTAACCCAGTCAATCTAAGTTTGCCCCTTCCCTTAACACTTCCCTCTACCGTCGTTGCATCGCATCTCTTTACTACTGGTTTTGTTGGTCTCCGTTGTATATGTCCAAACCATCTCAATCTATTTTCTCTCAGCTTATCTTCTATCAGTATTACTCCTACCCGTTCACGAATATACTCATTCCTAACTCTGCCTTTTCTAGTCTTGCCGTACATCCACCTTAGCATCCCCATTTCAGTAACACTCATCTTATCTAAATATTGTTTCTTAGTTGCCTATTTTTTTTTTTGGTTTTTTGTAATTTCAGAAATAAAAATAATGAAATTTCATTATTGCCTATGATTTTATTTTTTGCACAAACAAAGTTTCAAAAAATTTAGAAAAAATCTTTTATATGTATCACACAAAATTTTATTAATTATGATGATAACCAATGAAGGTTTGCAAGGCCAAGTAAACAAGAAACAATGACTAATCATAGCATCCATCTTGTAGATAGGTATAAAATCTAACTAAATCCACCTAAACTCCAATGATTACAGGACCTTCCAAACTAATCCAAGATGTAATTCAAGTGAAAATAACAAAAAGGGGAACTGGTTTATATAACTTAAACTATCTTTGAATGCAGTAAAGATTTTCATTTTATTTAATAGGTTTTGGGGCATATAGTTTACATCAACACAATGTATGTTTCTATCGAGCATCTAACAGAGTAATGGTGATTTCAATGGCCGAAACTGTTGCATCCTTGCTTGACGAACAACCAGCCTCATGAATATTCCTTTCAGTAAAGAAGCCAGGCTGTTTGACCTGAGGTAATACACCTTCACTACCCAACATCAGAACCACATATGACATGCTTGGCCTATCCTCTAGACATTGTTGCACACATAAAAGACCCACATGGATTGAGCGCAACACTTCATTTATGTAGCATGAGTCCCATAAAGCCTCATCAATTAATTCCAACGACCTACCTTCTTTATAGAGTCTCCATGCCTGAACAATCCATTACAATATTAACAGTACTTCTTGGAAAACATACATATGCAACGATAGCTTTAAGCTTCGTACACTTACATGCCCAAGGAGGTTGGGGCGGTGACCTGGATGATAGAAACCTCTGTTTCTCTTCCTACTCACAACCTCTAGCACCAAAACACCAAAGCTGAATACATCAGATTTTACTGAAAATAGCCCATCTACTGCATACTCTGGAGCTATGTAGCCACTATAGAGAAATGCTAAATGAAGAACCAGATTTTGAAGCAATATAAGTGGATTAGACGAAACATGTTATGGAGATTCTTACTGTGTTCCAACCACTATGTTTGTATTTGCTTGTGTCTCATTTCCTCCTAACCTTCTAGCCACTCTGAAGTAAGATATTTTTGGGTTCATGTCAATATCCAACAAAATACTACTAGCTTTGACATCTCTATGAACAATTCTCAGTTTGGAATATTGATGAAGCTATAAAAGTCCCCGAGCAATCCCATTAATAATGTGGAAGCCCTTCAACCACTTTAGTAATGCGCTTCGGGTTCGATCTGTTTTTTTTGGGTCTGATTTAGTCCTTGCTCTTGCTAATTAGATGCATGAATTTTTTAAAAATCCCAATTTTTCTAGAAGACAAAGCTCATGCAAATGCACATGTGATAACAACCACATATAATTTTGGTCCCATTACCAAATAATTCAAAAGGTTTATATGGAACAAAAAGTATAAAAAAGAAAAAAAAGAAAGAAAGAAAGATTGTTGGTTGGTCCAAGGGTGGAAGAGATGTGCTATACCAAAAATTGAAGTATTATAGTTTCAAGAAAGCCATACCAAAAATAAAGAAGTCCAGACTTTTGTTGGGCATGTATTCATAGATCAACATCTTTTCTTCTCCTTGAATGCAACATCCTAGAAGCTTCACGAGATTTCGGTGCTGAAGTTTAGCAATACAGATGACTTCATTCTTAAACTCATCAAGTCCTTGGTTAGAATTCTTCGAGAGCAGCTTCTCAGCTATTTCTTGTCCTCCTTCTAGTATACCCTGGGAATTACCAATATAATTTATAGACTGTTCTTCCCTTAGAACTTAAAAGAAACCACTTTTATTGCCATTCTTATTATTTATATCTTTTACATTTTTGTGTGTCGCTCTGGCTGACATTGGTTCAACAGGAACAGTCATCACCAGTGATTTATGTAACAACGTTACCAAACACATACTTCAAAGACATAATTACACAGATTTATAAAGTTTCATATGTGAGAAAAGATTCATAAACCAATCGTAAACTTAGAAAATTGAAGGAAAAATATACTATGTGATGCCAAATAACACCTAGGTTGTGTGATAAGGAAAGGGCAGATAATGTATTACTTTGCATGAGTGAGTGTGGACAGGTGGAGGGGAATTACAAAGTTAGAACTTCTCTACAAGATTTTAAAGGTCAGTCTCAATAATTTTTCACATATAAATATATAAATTATTATTTGCTACATAGAATATTCAACTAGAATAAACAATCATTTTTCCATATTTTTCATATAGAATACTTAACTAGATAATGACATTTTTGAAATAAATGCTCATCGATTGGTATTTTGATTTGAAATGATAAAACTCAAATCAACCACATCATTTGTATATCTTTTCAATATAATTTTTGTTCCTTTATGCCATTACTCAAAAAATAAAAAATAAAAAATAAAATAGAAACAAGAAACGAAGTCCCAACCTAAAAGTGAATAGTCATTCAAGAAATTGAAAAAAATGAAAGAGTAGCCATCTAAATAAGCTTGTTGGTGAGCCAATTTCCTGCTTTTGAATAATGATGATGTTAGTTCGTTAAGAACAGGATCCTCGTGAGCTGACCGGGCAGCTCGATCCCCGTCATAATCAGCGAAATGGCAATCTTGAAAGAATTAACATCACAAAGCTTCTCTGTAAGGCACAATTCGGGTTGGATTCGCATCTAAACACTCATAGCCTCATAGAAATAAAAAGTGCGAAAACAAATACAACTTAAAAGAGTTTTGTCAAACGGGGTTGCCAAAAATAAAAACCTAACAATTTAGGCTTTATTTATGAGTGAATTTGAAATGAAAAATAATTAAGGTTAAAATTTATAAAATCATAGGCAAGTTAATTATTGGACGTAGATGATAATTATAAAGTGTAGGATTGAATAAAAGATAACTTGGACGAACTAAAAAGAAAGAAAGAACTCACTAGAAAGCAAGCTACTTTCGAAACCTTGAATTAATACCTGGTTCGAACCGGATAGAAAATTCCTTACTAATTTTATTAAGATCCTTGTTTGAGTAGAATAAAATAGAAGGATTTCAAATAACTATATTCAGTATCAAGTTGTTATAGATTGCACAAGTGCGTCTTTACATTGTTACCTTGTAAACAGGTCCAAATCCACCCTCTCCAAGCTTGTTGTCAATTGAAAAGTTATTTGTCGAATTAGCTATTATAGCTAAGTCAAACAATGGTAACTCCAGATCTTCCTTCTGGCTTTTGTCATTGTAACCTTCTTCAGAGTTGAGCATCAGATTTTCTGTAATGCAGGGATGAAGTGGATGCAAATGAGATGAGTAGATCTAACAAAGTAATATACCATTACCGGGAAGAACACATCAACACATAATACAGAATATATATATTTGTGTGCATATCTTTTCTTTTTTCCTTCTAAATTAAGTTTACCACATAATTACTCATCTCACATACCTTCTCAGTTCAGCTGTAAATTCTTCTTCTTTTTTCGGAGATACAAGGTTATGCTGATACCCAGCAGAAGAAATCCAAATAATAATGCCAAGATCACTCTGACTATCTTTTTTTTCTTGCCACTGAAGCCAACTTGGTGAACTGTTGAATCCTCAATTCATTTAAAGCAATGGTTAATTCATTCAGGTAATACAACCATGAGAGTACAAACATATGTATAATGTCAATTGCTATATATATAATTAGAAAATAAGTAACAAATTACATTCAACCAAGGCTAGAAACATAATGAGGTCAAGCCAGGCCTTAGTAGATTCTGTGATGTAGTCACTTTTAACCATGATTGGTATTAAGGGAAGCTGCATTTGAAGGAGAAACCTGCCCTAAATATATGAACATTACTATACACTCGGTAGAAGAGGTTATCAAATTTTCAAAGTGCTAGGGGCTCTGCAAGTGGCCAAGCTGTAGTTATTGCCTCTTGACTTTACAGCTGCTCTGTCGGAAAGTTTGCAAGCCTGGTTTACTTTAATTTGTACGCTTCACAGTTAAACCAAAGGTACAACTTAGGAATAGAACTTTATCTCTGCTTCTGATTCTAGATTTTCCCCTATGAAGTCTTCTCCCAACTGCAGCTGCGTGCACTTTATATGGGTGATGTCATGGTATGGTGGTGTGTGTAGCGGCAAAAATTAACATGTGGGGCAGAAAATTCAGTGCAGTCATGTACTCTAATGGTATGCGGTCATGTGGTTACTTTGTGATGTAACTTGAAAAAATCACACAAAGAAGACAATTTGCAGTCCATTTATTTCACTAAAACACAAATTTTAGATACAATAGATAATAACTTCAGGGATGAAGAGACACAAGAGGGGACAAACCGAAGAAGTCCACTAGGGGCCTTGAATTCACAAGGAGAATAGAGGGAAGAAAGAAAAAGGGGGAAACCCTAGAGTCCACCAAGGGGCTTGAATCCACAAGCACAAGGGGAAAGAAGGGGGAAGGATACATGGAGCCATAACTCTAATAAACCCAAGGGTTACTCACATATTGACCCTGTCTCAACTGACCTAATTGAGCCATATTTATAAAGTCTTCAAACCCTTAAAATGCAAAATTACCAAAATAATCCTCACACAAAAAATACAATAACAAATAAGGCCATCATAATTTTCCCAATGGACCACATCACATCACTGCCTCTACTTTTCCTTAATAATGGTCACATGCCTTGCTATTATTAGATGGGCACATGGCCAAGTGGTGTTCCCAATGCACCAAATAACTGCTCGTGTAGTAGGGATTGCAATAGAGAGTCTTGATATATTCTATATATGTGGCAGCCAAAAGCTCTGGCACTTGGTAGTGAAGGAAGTACTTGAAAGGTGCATGAACCTATTTTGGGATAGAATTGATGATGAATCGCATGATTCACGATTTGATCCACATTTTACGATTCATGCGATTCTTGAAGCTACAGGGTTTGATAGATTCCAACCCCTTCTTACCTCTTTTGACAAAAATGAAACTTAAAAAGATTAAAATGACATAAAACGCATACTAAAAGAACCATACATATATTTTGTCCTAAAATATAATCAAATTTTATAAGCATCAACATTTGTATGCTTGTAAAATCACTAATGTATGTGTTTGGCAGTCAAAGAGAGCATCATTTAGTTATAATGTAAAACCACTAATCTATATGTTTGGTATGAATTCTTACCCAACTCAGAGGAAGCCATCCTTATGTAAATGTCTTGCCCATTTTCACTGAACTCTCTCATGCCAATCAATTCATCAAACCGAAGCAAGCAGCCACTTCCATCTCCTCTTATGTCTAAATTTGTGTAAGCCGTACAAGAGCAGTTTTTCAAGCATACCATCTCGCATTCCCTTAAGGTCATGCTCTTGTTAAACCAGGAATATCTTGTGTTTGGCATTTTATAATGTGAATACTTGAGAAATCCATCTCTGTTACGACAATCCACTGGTGTCCTCCGAACACACCCATCAAACCAATCTCCATATTCCCATTGCTTCGGAAATTTGGGCACAAACTTACTCAAACAACCGCATACTGGTATGTTTTCAATGTTACAGCTACCATATGAACCGCACCATTTATAATAATCACAATTATCTGTCGGTGAACTCAGGTAAAGGACCTATTCCTGGGTTCGATCAATCCATGTGAAGCGCTGCATAATGCCATTATGACTTAGAGCAAACCTTGAAACAACTGAGTTGTTAATGAGTTCATAACCATAATACACCTCCTCCTCAGTGAAAACTAATCCATATTTGTAGATGGAATTTGGTTTAAGGTTTGGTCTCCCACTGAATCCGAGACCATTCCATGGTCCAGATCGATGCAGCTCAATGGAACCGTTTCTCAGAATAAGTTGTGGATATCCTTGGGGATCACACCAAAAGAAAAAATCACCTTGAGCTGAATCATCACTGCTCTTCCATGAAGAGAGGTGCCGCTCTTTACCCGTTACAAAATTCTTTCCAAGCTTCATGCCTGGTAAAAGAGTATCACACGGATGATCAAAGCTTTGCCACAAAATATTATCATTCACATCTTTCACAATAAGATTTCCTGACTCCATAAGTTGTGCAACAGGGTCCTGTGTGGATCTTGTTACATTGGGAGACCAAAAGACACTGCCGGTACCATTGACAAGGGCAAGAATTCCAGGGTTGATTACCTTCAAGACACCTGATGAATCGATGAGTGGGGTTTCTCTGTTGGCAACCCATACAACAATCTTAACAGCTATTTTCTTGTACCATATTCCCAAGTATTGATTCTGCGAATTGTCAGGGCTGAAAAATCCCAACTCAAAGCTTCTACCAGATGAAACTATGGTCTGGCTGCCTGTAATGGAGTGGCTTTTAGTTATTGTGTCTACTGCTTTGGAGATTATTAAGATGGAAAATAAAGAGGAAAACAAGAAAGGTATTTTGAGGCCATCCATTGATGGTCTAATGTCCAATTCATGGAATTCCTCTGTTCTTCAGTTGGACTTGGTAGCGTCAATAACGAAGACATGAAATTCCAGAGTCAATCAATGCTAATTCCACACAGTCATCACTGGGTCATTATTTGCAATAAGTCTTCCTTTCCCCCTCGTTGGGGGCATTATTTAGAAAAGGGTAAATAACAAATGCATCTCCTGATGTTTGTGTAAAATATGAATTGTCTCTTGTAGTTTAAAAATTACAAATATCTCACTGTCAAATTTTTTATTTAACATAATTAATTGAAAAAGTAAAATTTCTAACTGTTCACTTATACGATAACAAAATTATTTGAATTATTAATTGAAATAAAATTTTAACATTATTAAAAATTATTAATTAACTTGATGATTTATTAATGAAAGGACTTATTTATTATGAAATTAGAAATTTTAGAAGGCATAATGTAATTTCTAAAACTACAAAAGATAATTTACAATTTAAGTAAAGTTCATGGGGTACGTTTGTAATTTACCCTTTAGAAAAGCATACTTCCTAAATTTTAAATGTATCTTTTTTCAGTGGGAACTTGGAACAACCAGATATTGGGAATCTTTGATAATAAAATTCATAGACCAGCATAATTTTGTCCCCTTCTTTTGTTTGCCCATTTTTTATTAGGTAAATGACCTGATATCTTCTCTGATGCCGCATGATAAAGCTGTTATCACTAAAACTGAAGTCATACCCCTCAGTGCCAACTTTAGAAATTGCCATTTTAATCTTCTGTTTTTTTTTTTTTTTTTTTTTTTTTTTTTTTTTTTTTTTTGGGTTAAGGTTAAGCATATAGATAACAAAAGCTAATACCACTATCAGCCCAACAAACCCTTATTTTCTCTCTATTAGCATACGGATAACTAAGCTCCGTGACAACGCCGCACACTCATTTAAGTGAGCATGCAAAGTTAAGAGTCCAATCACATAAACCAACAATGTAAAATACTCAAAATAAATCTTTAATTATCATAATGCCAAAATCCATAAAAATAAATAATTATTATCATATGAAATTGTCCACTAAGTCCACTAATATTATCCACTAACAAAATAATAATCCAAGTACTTAAATCATAGTCCTACTCTCGACACTTCCACAAGTAAAAACCCCTTATAGCTCTACTCCTCAGAATCTGAAATAAATAAATAAATAAAGTTAAGGTAGATAGCCCAGTAAATAACTAACCATCACTGCTAGCTGGATCAAGTATAAAAAAAAAAAAAGTTGATAACCAATAAATATATTTTTTGCTACAATTCAATAAATAACAATTATTTTGTAAGATGATTTCATAGTTGAAAATAAACAGTGTAGCAATACATTCTAATTGAAAAGACAATGAGATAATTCGAAGAAATTTCGTTGTTCAAATCGATGGTTCAATATTCAGATGGTTCAATGATGCGATTCACAAAACCCAAGTCTTGGCGACTACAGTCACTTAGCCCGTGACAAGGCCCAAAACCACACATAGGCCGGTGGTAAGCCCCAAAAGAAACTAGTTTCTGTGCCAATAAATAATCCCCATTAGCTAGGGTCCGAATCATAGTCAGACTAGAATGATGTTCAAAATTCAAACAATATACAACTTTTAAATAAAATATTCGATATTTCCAGAATAAACATTTGATATAATTTTCAGAATAGTTTCACAAAACATTCAAATAATTTTCATAATAAAAGAACCAACAGTGAAGGCTATATAATAATTTTCATAATAGTTTCACAAAACATTCAAATATTTTATTTTAAGAGAACATGAAGGCTATAAATAAATATTTATAATTTTAA